TACACTCACTGTACTGTATAGTAGTAATTTCAATGACATTTGCAATAGAAAAGCTTGGATGCTCTGCATTATTTTACATATAGATCAAAAGCAAACAGCATCAGGCTGCTGGGAGTGGCACTATATAGTGCACTGAACAGTGATTAGTGAGTGATTTCAGACACAGTGATGGTTTTGGAAATTGCCAGTTCTTTGTTTACTGTCACAATGAGATGAAGAGAGGAAACCAAATGCAGGATGAACAAATGAAAAAAGGGTGCACCATGACAGCTTGGAGGGACTGAATGGGATATTGATGGTAGGTGGTCTTACAATTGTTATAACATTGTTCAATCAATCATTTAATCAATCAGATTTTTTTGTATAGTCCATTTTGACAAATAATTTTTTCTCATATGGGCTTAGTGCAACATCTTCTGCCCTCAACCCTCAGCTAGAGTAAGAGAAAACAAACTTTTAGCACAACCTCAGAGTGCTGCATGTGAGGGATACCTGTCCTAGGAGGGACAGAGGTATAATATATATTTGTAACACAGACAAGCAACAGAGATCATTAACAAAATAACAATATTTACAACATTCATGAGAAAGACATTCTCAAACATAAATGGAGAGGTGGTTTTGTCAAAAATAACAGTAAATGTGAGAAGGCATATTGTTTATCTGAACAATCTAGTAATCCACGATTATGATGTTTTTTTCAGCATGCCCGTTATGTGACCCTTTGATTTTGTTTTGGTTAGCATGTGCATTTCACCAAAGGCTTTTTATAGGGTTTTCAATTTTCAATTGCCATCTTTTATCAGTTTGACATATAATCCAGAGGTGGTGTTGCCATCAATTACTTTAGACATTTCCTAGCCTAAGGTATGATATTGAAACCTGTACTTTGGATTAAAACCTCCACTATGTATGCTCCCAGTATGAAGGTAATTTGTGATATAAAATAAAGGCCCAGTGACACTGTTTGTCACTTTTATTCAAAGTCACATCATTTAAGAAACAATCCTGCCAGAGGTGATAGTGGTCACCTGTTCTGAGCCAGTTGTCATGGAGGTCATCCCAACACCAAGTACGTACAGGAAATGTATATATATTGCTTGACTACTATTAGTTTAAATATCTAACTTTTCTGTTTCATAAGTTTAATTATTTATGAGCAGCACTTGATTAAGTACATGATGAGAGGGATTCAGGTGGCCTGTGATTTGGTATAGGACAACAGACACCAAACCAGACAACAAACAAAGGTAAGTTCACCTACAAATGATTTTGAGGATGATGTAGAACCTGTTCATGAACACCCTGCTTGATGACAGTGAAATTAATTAAGAGGAAATCCAGGCTACCTTTCTTTTAATGAGAAACCAGAGGACATGGAGTTTTCTATACAGGAAATTGTTATGTCTCGTCAGTTATGTTAAGTTTATTCATGTTTATGTTTTAAGTATACCATGTTTGTGTTAGTTCATGTCTAGTCTTGTGTGTTTGGGAGCACTAGGTGTTAAGGTAAACTTCACTCATGTCTAGTCTCATCGTGCACTTCCTGTTTTATTTTGGTACTCACCTTTTCCCTCTCATTTCAGACCCTGACTTCCTCCCTTTGTGTGGTTTCCCGCCTTCGTGATCATCTTCCCCGCCCCTGATTGGTTTCACCTGTTTCCTACTTCCTCTTGTATAAATAGTCCTCGTCTCCCTTTGTCCTGTGCCAGTCTGTCTTGTTCTGTCCCCATGCTTCAAGTGTGAGTTTATGTCAAGCCAAGATTTAGCTTCATTCATGTTTTGTATTCTTGTATATCCTCTTCGTGAGCTCTTTTTGTTATGCACCATTAGAGATGGAAAATAAGCCTCTTTTTGTTATATCCAAGCCTTGTCTGAGTTGTGCATTTGAGTCCACCAGTTTTCGTGCCTGAGGTCATTACAGAAATCCTTGATAAGGAGATAGTTGGATGACCCTGACCTGGAAAGTCAGTAATGGGGTAGCTCTGTGTAAATATTAAGTCTGTTCTCTGTTGTTAAGAAAGTATTCAAGTCCTTTAGTTAAGGAAAGGTAACAATGCAACCTAATCCTTATAAGTAAGAGTCTTTGTTTGCAAGTTGTCTGTGACTGATACACTATATGCATTTTTATGCTTTACAATCTTAATTTTAAAAGTAATCATATTACTGTACTTGTAGCTTTAGGTTGTATCTAATGTTGGTTGGTGTTTAACATATTCAAACTTGTTTTCTTGTTATTGGAGTTTTTTTCAAACATATATATATATTTTTTCATATTAGCAACAGATTTTGCTGATCAGTGTAATTGGAAATAAAATGAATGCGGCAGCACTTAGAGGTTGGTGGAATGGTAAGTAACTAATTGTTAATGACTTTTTGACCATCCTTACACCATTGGGAGAGTGGGGCCTGTTACGTTCCACAAATACTCCCTTCTCTCTCCGCAGTGCCCAAGGTCAGGTACATAAAGGGCCAACCAACAGTACATTGTAGCGTCTACGCTCATGGACTTTCATATCTAACTCAAATGCAGAGACAGCAGTGGCAAGATGTAAGGACAATGTGATTTAGGAATGTACACTTCAGGCTTAACTATTCAATAGGATACATGCAACATAGAGAGTGACAGCAATTCTAGCCTTTCATGGATGTGCTGTTTGAATGGGTGATGTAAGTGAGGAGATATATGGGGAGGCTGTGAGAGACATCTTCAGACTTGCTCATGTTGCTCTGTTAGTGTTTGTATATTGTTCCACCTTCTGGTCTCCTGGTTTCATCAAGTCTACATTAAAATCTTCTGCATAAAACATCAGCTGCTGCATGAGTTCTACCTCCACCGGCTTCAGTAAAACATCCATACCACTAATGACTTGTTAACTAGGCAACTAATAGAAGTCCATGCAAAATTGCATCAGAATCAGAAGTACTTTATTAAAGGAGAAGTTCAGTTTTTTTCAACCTGGTCCTTATTTCCAGCATATGGTATGTAGATCTACTCACCCATAAAGGTTTGGAGTAACTTGGAGTCCTTCGGACGCTTTTAGATCCACACGCGATCGGCGTATACCCATACAACGCAAGAGTTCGGGGCATCCACAATACAGCCTCTAAATAACGCATTATCTGCCGCGAAACTCTTTATTTACTATGAATCGCCAGCACTAGTCCCCTGTGAGTCTCACCAGCCTCGGAGCTAGCGTTAGCTAAGCTAATGCTAGCTCCGAGGCTGCTTGTTAGCCCGCTGAAGTTAGCTAGCCTTTAACTGGGTGAATACGCCCGAGCACCAGGACACAGCTGCTTTAAAAGAATAGTGTACTGTAAAGCACCTGATAAGTATTCTGTCACGTTGCACAGACACAGCTAAGTCAAAGGTCAGCTGCGGCCGCGCCTTGGTGACGTAAACAAAGCAACTTGGACTCACAGGGGAGTAGTACTGGCGATTCATAGTAAATAAAGAGTTTCGCGGCAGATAATGTGTCTCCAAGTTACTCCAAACCTTTATGGGTGAGTAGATCTACGTACCATATGCTGGAAATAAGGACCAGTTTGAAAAAAACCAAACTTCTCCTTTAATCCCCGTAGGACAATTCAAACATCACAGAGCTCCTGAGAAGGTGATGAAAGAGCAAAAGCAGGTGTGAAAATAGTGATATAAAAGTCAGGTAAGACTAAAATGAAATAAAAGATACGTATACATTTGTAGAAATAAAAACCGGGTTTGTATAGATTTACCTTTTTACATGAATGTAAGTTAAAGTATACACAGTATACATGTTTAAGCTTATTTACAGGTTGTCATTATACAATTTGACAGCCACAGGCAGGAATGATTTCCTGTGGCGTTCTGTCTAGCAGTGTGGGTGGATGAGTCTGCCACTGAACGAGCTGCAGAGGCTAATCAAGACATTATGGAGAGGGTGTGACGGAAAGTCTAATATTGTCCTTACTTTGGACAAAGATCTCTTCTCCATCCATGCACATATTCAATCCACAGTTCCTCTGCCCAAGTTGACTGTAAATCGTGCACAAAATGTTTGTATCTTTCAGACTGGGTTTATCTTACATATTCCAATTTGTGTCTGATTCCATTCAATATGGCATCTAAAAAGAGTGTCATATTTATTATATATATATATAACTTCTTTTTATCTATCATTGCCATATTCCTTAGCAATATCAATGGACACATCCCTCATCATTCCATTCAACACACTTGTCAATGCGTGGACATTGCTCCATACCTGTCAAGTCTCACGTTTTACTTATCTTGCTTGCATGTCTTGTCTTTTGAGTCCTTGTGGGTGGTGTTGGAAGGATTCACTGAATTTCACTATTTCAGTCACTGACTTCAAGGATGTTAATTTAGGTATGATTGCTGTGAAAATTCTTACATGACTCAACTTTCACATCCTGTAGTTTGCTTACTTTTCTAGAAGGAGTTCAAATAACTAATTGTTCATAATAGTAATGAATTGTCCTTAATTGAAGAAAGGGCCTACCAGAGTGAAGAGGAGGAATGAATGGGATAGAATTAAGGTGAAAAATGGAGAGTCAAGAGTAATAACCTACAGTTGGGTGAACTTGTATTAACATTATGCTTAAAATAATCTTTGCTGTTTTACATAGATGGGTGAAGGCAAGGGGAACAAATACAATGTTATTATTGGTTGAACTCTTCTATTTTTGCTTTGAGGCAGACTAGACCTTTGTTTCCATAGACATGATTACTGCGGGCTTAGGTCAAACCCACAAGGTGTACCTGAGCTTTTAGAGTGACAGAAATGTTGGCAGATCTGTAAGCTGTGGTGATAAATTCATATGTAGGTACAGCAAATATTTGCATATTTTATGTGTGAAGAACCTTTGACTTAGGTTTTAAGGAGTGGGAGTCGGAGACAGTAGATACTTTCAGACACATGAACCCAAAACTGTTAATATTTAAAAATCATAGACTCAACACAAGCACATTGATCAACAGATTATTTTAATAAATAATATCACTGATGAAACCAAAAACAGACCAAAAAATAATTTGTGTACTGAACAATATTTGTTTATCTTTTTTATCAATACAGGCAGCAGCACGTTATACAAAGCCAGATGATGCAATGTAGTTAGCAGAGAAAGTGGGGAGTTGATTAAGACACCAACAAGTCCAGACTACAAGGTGATTGGTTGAAGAGGAGTGATTGGAGGGATGCAGGGACTGAGGGTCACATTTGTGGTATCCTAGTCCATGAAACCCCCATACCTCTTCTGTTGCTCATTGCCATTCTCCCAGGCCCGTTTCAACACCCCCCCACTCTTGCTGCTGTCCACCAACCACTCTGGCCTGCCCACACGCCTCATGAACCCTCCATAGCGCTTCTTGAGCCCACGGCCTAACACTGCCTCCAGCAGGTCACTCGGCGCTACCCCTCCTTCAGCCCGCCGCATGAAGCCTCCATACCTCTTCATTGACTCGCCGCCCTGACCGTCCCCCTCACTGCCGTGCTCGACTGCTGCATTAAGGATCTTAAGGATCTCTAGGCGGACATTTTCTTCCTCATCCTGGTTTCCAGCATCCTCGAGTGCCCCCTCTGGTGAAGAGGACCGGCGAGACATGAAACCACCATAGCGCTTCATGAAGCCCCCGTACTTCTTGGCCAGCTGGTGTTCTGGAAATGTTGCATCCTCAGTGTCAGCCATCATGGCACCGGCTGCTTCCTGTTCCTGCTGTTGACGTGGCTTGGCATCCAGAGGAATGTGGTTTTCCTCCTCCAATAGTAAGTCCCGGCACAAGCGTAGCTTCTGGCTGTCCAACCCACCATTGCACTCAAGTGAGCATGTCTGAAAAAAATTTAAAATTATAATAATGACTTTTACAATCAGTCTTATCAATACACTGTTAAGCAATCAAATCATGCTGATTTTACAGAAGCAGTTTCAAGGTTACATTGCCCCTGAATCAGTGGTTCTATCAGGGAGATATTCAATTCAATTCAATTTTATTTATATAGCGCCAATTCATAATTTACATTATCTCAAGGCACTTTACATTTAAAGGTCAAGACTTTAAAAAAATATTAACGTAGAGAATCCCAACAGTTCCCACAATGAGCAAGAACAGGCGACTGTGGAGAGGAAAAACTCACACATGGGTAATTTGGGTGTTTTTAAACACTGTGTGAATTGAAGGGATTCCATGTAAGGGCTCCTTAGTTATTTCAAGGTTAACAACCAAACGTCAAAGCAATAGTTCAGCATTTTTTTTAAATATATTTATTTAGTTTTGTTATCAATCAGATGAAACGATAAAGTCTAACCTGTGTATACAACTTGAAACAGAAACTAGAGTTGGGACATATTTTGTAGTGGTACACATTATGAATCACCTTGATGATTTTAATCATCATAATGACTTGCAAAGATTTTAGTTTAAGAAATTCAGGCTGAGTAAACAAATCTCTTCTAGCACAATTAGGATTTAAGGTTAATGTAAACAAGCACAGGTTAATGCCTCAACAATCCTCACACGCATCATATTGTACGATCCAGTTATCAACATCTTGACAAAGAGTCAGGAAGTGTTGGCTGTCTCTTAAAAAAGTCTCACTTATAACAAGTCCTGGTAAAATGAATGAATATAAGATTGATGTAGATCTTAGATCTTATAGTCTTCTCGAAAATAAACTCTCACTTCAAGACTATAAAAAGGAAATAATTTGTCCTAATAGACAAAGGTAACATTTCTGAAAGTATTAAGGGGTTAGTTTTGACAAAATAAAAAACTATGACTGAAATAATATGTCACTTTTGAGCTTTAGAATATTGTGATTGTGAATATATTTTGACAATTCATTTCACTCTGAAACTCTACACTCGATAATGTAAGATATGACTATAAATGTATCTATGAGAACAAACTAATAGATTTTCAATATCTGAGATATTGAATAACTCAGAACATAAGAACTAAAATCAATCAATAAATCAATCAAATTTAATTGTATAGCCCATATTCACTAATCACAATTTGTCTCATAGGGCTTTAACAAGGTGTGACATCATCTTCAACAAGAGTAAGGAAAAACTACAAAAAACAAACCAAACCGTTTAACAAAAAGGCATTTTAGGCAGCATTAAACTAGTTTACACTTTCTGTGCTTTAATGGATTTAGATCTGTCAAATCGATCATAGAAAAATAAAACAACTCTTGGCTCTGAACATATGGTGAATGGTTGGTATTTATTTAATGCTTTTCTAGTCTTGATGACCACTCGAAGCGCTTTACATTACAGTTTGCCATTCTCTCAGTGCATCGATTAGCAGCACTTTTTTCCTATGAGTGGCAATTCGGGGTTCATCATTTTGCATCTTCTGCATGCAGATGGGGGAGACTGGGATTTAACTACCAACCTTCTGGTTGGAGGATGACTTATCTACCCCTCGGCCACAGCCTCCCACATATGAAACAATATTCTGTGGTGGAGAGCCATTTTTGACCATCTTCGTTTGCATTAAAGTTTTTTTCATTTTAGCGATATTAGACCATGATGTTAGGGGTCTGATGAACTCCTGAAATTTAAGACCGAAAAAGAGAGAAAATCTCTGACATCCATCTTGCGTGAATTGCAGCAATGATTGTGTTCAGATAGAAAACAACACACAAAATCTAAAGACTTTCTTAAGACAGAAAACAGTAAAGGAGACAGAGATTACAGTCAACTGTCAACAGATGGTTTGGAAGAACAAAAACGCCCAATTTGTTTATGAAATACCTAAATTATTCCCTGAACAACTCAGAAAACACACAATTTCTCATTTAAAACCATCTGTCCCAGCCTGTTCCTCGCCCACTGACATATCTAATGGCAGCTTCGCCTATAAAAGCTGCATGTCCCCCACCCCTCAACCCACTTATCCCAGTCATCCTTTAAACACGTGCGTCCATATAACCCCAGTGGCACGAATATAATCAGACTAAATGTGTCTGCTGGGCCTTGGGGGCTACTTACTGCTGGGTTCACCTGCTCCTAACCTCATATGTGTCATTGGATTTTTACTTAATTCAACCATCAGAAATTCCTGTTTGATGGCACAGAGTGTGGAATCTCGCTGAGCTTTCAGCGCCACTGGCTTACGAAAAGACAGAATTAATGAACAGGAAAATTGAATTGAGGACATATTGGCACCTCAGGGGCTGGGAAGGTAGAGGCCAGCAGCTACCTCTGGTGGCCATAATGGGAGGTATGCAACAATAATGATGTCTTTCTCCTTATAACGCAATGAGGAGAAACACAATAGAAGAT